CCCTTCAGGTTTCCAACAGCAATTTCTTTTAATCATGTACTTAATATACTCCAAGGTGTTGAATTCCGTGTCAGCTGTAAACATACAGCTAAACATTTACATGTAGGCTTTCTTCAGCTCCTCACAGTCAATTCAAGGAATGAACAATGAAGCAGCACTACTGTGCAAGATCCAAATTGTGCTGCTGGCAAGAAGATTCTCAAATAACTGTAGATCTCCTGGGAGAAGGAATATTATACTATGGAATAGAGAGTATTTGCCAAAGAGCAAGCTGGTCTGTAGGCTTTTCTAGCTCTTCTTTCATTCTATTTATTTATTTGCTTTTACTGTCACTGGTGCCATCTAAAGCCAAGAAATACAATAAGGTTAAAACTATTGCAGGAAATCATTTTGATCCACCAATTAAATGAGCAAGTTCACCTTGCCTATGATATGCCATCAAACATCGATATGAGCATTTGGTGCAATCAATCTATTACACATCAATTTTATGGCTGTATAATGAGGTTTAATTGCTGCTTTATTAGTCTGACTAATATTAAGTGTCATAATTGCTTTGCATTCAACTTGGATTTCTCATTTAAATCACACATCCAATATTTAACCATAAATGTAGACCTTCTTTTTGTCTAATTATATTTTGCTTTAATCCTCGTGGTACAAAAAAAAAGCCCATTTGGAGTGATTTTCCTCCTTTTTATGAGTTCTCTGGCCCTGAGGAACAGAGGCTGGGAAAAAAAAAATGTTGTTCTTGGTAAATGCACAGGCCTTTGGCATTTGGAAAGTGAACTTCAAATTTCCTACTGACAGAAATATAATATTGGTTTTGTGTACTAATGAGTGAATTGCTAAGGTGTGTAAATTCATTTGTAGTCACACTGAAGTGCACTGGACTAGTCGTATACTTTAAGTTATGCATATCTTTGGGTGAATGGTGGGGCTAATGCATGCTACCCTGGAGCACACATGTGAAATAAGGCTGGCAAGATGCAGGGTGCATTTTGACTGTCAAGCCACAGACCAAATGTTATTGCTAGCTGGGATTTTAGTGCACTATTAAAGTAATAGGCTCAGATGCTCAGACACAGAGCTTTAGGAGGCAAAGAGCTGAGGCTGAATAAATTACCTGGTGCAATCGATGAGGAAACCTTTTGCAGAGCCAGTCTTGTTCTGTGACTTCCTTATATTAACAAGGACTATATTCAGGTGATGAGTTGCTGGATTGTTCAAGTAGGTAGCAGTTTTATCATTTCACTTGGCTTCTTCTGATTTCCCTTTTTTGTTCGAAACAGACTCTATCTATTTTGCAGGGTTGAGCTCAGCTCACTGAATAGACCTGCCATATGCCATTAATATCATCTGATGCTCCAGTGACAGCTGGCTAGTATGACCCTGCGAGCACCTCATGAGCTAAAGTCAATCTGTATTTTGGGAAAAAAAGTATAGTGCTGGGAAGTGTCATGTGTCTAGTTCGTGCAACATTAGGCTGCTGAAATTCTGATTAGAAAAATATAGCGAGTGATTCAGTAATATTTTGTTACAGTTCTCTTCCTGGATCCATTAAGGCGACAACATATCTAGAGACCCTGTGAGAGTCAAATATCCATCGCTGTACATCTACTGGACTTCAAACAAAGGACTGAAAACATCATAGAATCCTAAAATTGTTTAGATTGGAAGGGACTTTAAAGGTCATCTATTTCTAAGTCCTCTGCCATGTGCAAGGACACCTTCCACTAGAGCAGGTTGCTCCAAGCCCATCAAGCCTGGCCTTGAACTCTTGGATGGAGCATCCACAGTTTCTCTGGGCAACCTGTTCCAGTGCCTCACAGGAAATAACTTTTTCCTTACATCTAATCTAAATCTACCGTATTTCAGTATAAAGTCATTCCCCTTGGGCTTATCCCTACATGCCCTTGTAGGAAGTCCCTCTCCAGATTTCTTGAAGGCCCGCTTTAGGTACTGGAAGGCTGCTCTAAGGTATTCTTTGGTAGTGGCAGTTTGGTGGTGATAACTCCCTTTTCCTTTATTTTTTTTTTTCTTGTCAAGAACAACAATTTTAGGCATAATAAAAATGTTATCTAGCACAGAATAGGTTTTAGAAGATATTTCTTTCTGGAAGAGGCTTCAGTCATGTTGTCTGTCCAGTTTTTCGTGAGTAATGTACTCATTAGAGTTAAGAAGAGGTAAGAACATGGAGACTTTCTGAAGCTGCAACTCAAACCTACCAACTATCTGGCAGGAATCCAGGCCACAGCACCATTAATACTAGTGTCAACCCTCAGCTGAATATGAGATCAGAAATGCTTATTCTGTGAAAAAAGCAGCCAACCAAAGCTCTCATACCTTGCCTGACTTTCTAACCCAGGCCCTGAGGTACCTTTCTATCAAACAGGGTCCTTACTCTGTAATGATGGGGCCACCCACATTTGCCATCATAGTGTAATATTTTACCTTATGCATGAAGAAGCAAAAGACCTTGGCTTTGGAACAGCTTTAGCCTGAATAGCTGGCAACAGCCTATTTGCACATCCCAAGAGAATACTGGATCTACTATCTTACAGGGCATTTTGTGTGAGTGTACAGTCAAGAATGTAAGATCATGGAACCAGGCAGACAACAGGCAAGAGGGAACCTGCCTTGTGCCTTTTCTACAGCGTTTGGTTAGGTGAGAAGACACCTGATATTTTTATCCACAGCCTAGAGACTGTTTAGTTTTCTTATCCAAAGACTTATCTAAGGTAAAACACATCCACATTCCAGAGAGCAGGTGGGAGGGACCCTGTGTGTGAGATCTGGTAGCTAGAGAAACTGGAGGCTAAGAAGATGCAAAGACTGTTTTTTTACCAAGGGAAGTCATCTAACCTCTAGGGCTTGGTCCTAAAAAAGACGGACTGCCACCGCAATATTTTTTTTCCTAATTTGATATAAATAACTAGTTCTTTCACATTAGATATGTTTCTAAGAAGGCATGATCTTGAGCAGCCATTGGCACCTCCTCACTTCTACTGATTTCCTATGCAGTCATGACAGACATGGTTACCTTGAGAAGCTTTGAAATTTTCCAAGGTTTCAAAGACACTTTCCTCTCCCCAGACAACTTCATAAAAAATGCAGATACTAAGCCCTGTGTTCCCTTCCTACCCCTTTCCCTCCCATCCATTAGTGGAAATGGTAATTATTGTACCCTATATTTCACACTATGATGTTCCCTTGCACCAGCAGCCTTGACAGCAGTGTTTCAGAGCTGCGTGGGACTGTTTGCATCATTTTGAGCTCAGCTACCTAACATTGAAAGGCCTCACCACAACAGTGAAGAATTTCAGTGTACAGCTGAGTTGATCTGAAAATTGCAGAATAGTGTTTCAGCAGGGCTGACACAAGTAATATCTTCTACATTTTTCTTACTGTTTCTGAGTGCTAGGGCAGCAGATCAGGCTTGATCTGCTGAGTGAGAAAATGCCATTTTTACGCAACACTGTTAAGAGCCAAACTGCCTTTCTAAGTGTGGCTGTCAGTCTTTTCATTGTGTTAAATCCTTGCCCATGATGGTTCTTTCTCATCCACGCTGACTCTCAATGCTGAGGTCAGGAGTGAGCTCCACCTCCCGCATGGCAAGTTGGCAGGATGTATATGTGCAAGGAACTAATCCACCTTTCCTGGAAGCAGTGAGCTGAGGTTTTCAGTCAGGAGCAAAAGGACAAAACAAAGGTCTGAGATTACAGATGGAGAAACATTTGCAGCCCTCTGTTGTTTCCTGTTGCTGTTTTAATTTTCTTTGCTAGGCATTACCAGACTATTGTAGTCCAGCCCAGGCCAGCCAGCTCTATAGCAGTAAAGATCCCTTGTTAGGTAGGTGGGAACCTTCTTCTACCTTAGATCACAGCTGCACCTTGGACTTCGGAGCTTGGACATCCAATATTCTCTTCAGGGTTAAACTCTTCTCATACATCCCTCTCAAATTAACCAGGAAGATTTTTCTTTTTTCCAAAATGGAGATTATTATCTCTGCTGAAACCCCCAAACATAAGTAAATAAACCTTTGACTAAGAATACCTCAACTACCTTGTAAAGACACCATCCCCCAATTCAAATCCCCTATGATGTGCATCACAAAAAGTCTAACGACTGTGCAATGTGTGAAGTCTAAAGACAACAAAAAGTCTGTGGCAGGGCTGACAGACAGCTTCACAGATTATGCTGGGGACCACGTCAAAACATGCATTTATCTGAAATTAAGGAAAAGAACTTTATATAAATATAAAGATATATATGTAAAATGGGAGCTTATAAGAAACACAGACTTTTTACCAAGGCCTTGTAGGGATAGGACAAGGGGAAATGGCTTCAAACTCACAGTGTATATTTAGACTAGATATAAGGGAGAAATTCTTTACTGTCAGGGTTGTGAGGCCCAGGAATAGGTTGCTCAGAGAATCTGTGGATGTCCCAGGATACCCTAGAAGTGTTCAAGGCAAGGTTGGATGGGGCCTTGAGCAATGTGGTCTAGTGGTGGATGTACCTGCCTGTGGCAGGGATGTTGGAACTAGATGAGCTTTAAGGTCCCTTCCAATCCAAACCATTCTACAGTTCTACAGTAAGGGTCTCACAAGAGCAGAGTAGAAGGAAACAGTTACCTCCGTCAGTGTGCTAGCCATAATCCTTTTGGTGCAGCCTATGATATAGTTAGCTTTCTGGGCTGTAATCACACACTGCCAGATCACGTTGAGCTTGTCAACTGAAATCCAACAGTTCTTCCAAACTTCATTCCCAGCCAAGTCTTCAGCCCAGGCAAATTAGCATTTTCCCAAACAGCTCCCAGTCATGGTCTGGAACTAGCAAGAGTCATTCATTCCTACTTATTCATTCCCATAAATGAATTTGGGTGTGAAAATCTTGTTTTGGAAGCTAAGAGATCTATGGAAGTGGTCAAACCACATCAGGTGAGTTTAATGATGGACAACAGGCCCCTGCAGCGATTCTGTAGCAGCAGCAGATGTGGTTGAAGGAAAAAAGAACTATCATCTTTGAAATCTAGAGAAGAAGAGCCTCCCATGGCCAGATTCTCAGATGGTGTAGATCAGTATCAGAGTTGTGCCGCTTTATCTGCATCCTTAGAAACAAACAACTGGACAAATATGGAAAGCTTATTGTTTTCTTCATTTCACCTCTTCCTTTCTTCCTTCCTTCCTTCCCTTCCCTCCGTGTCTGAAAGTCTTTACCACTGCACAGTGAAAGCAAATAAACAAGGAAGGTTAAAATCTAAAACCACTCATTCAAGTTAATTAAGTTCAGCCAGCCTCAACTACATCATCTGGTAAGATCTGGCAAGTTATGTGCATGTATATGTGTGTGTGTGTGTACATGAATGACTGTTTATCTCTTCCTCTATTCAGAAAGAATCCTCCAAAAGTGTACCTATTTTAGAATACGTTATTTCCATGTCTGGCTGTGAGGGGTTTTGATTTCTTTTTTTCTCTTGTTTTATTTTCCTTGTCTGTTTCTGCTCTTACAGCTGCTTTCATATTTTTCTCCAACTTCCCATTATTACATTTTCCTCCTTTTATTTATGATGCTTGATTCCCTGTGTACATTATTGCTGCAGTGTTGGTACTTTATTAAATACCATACAGATACTAGAGTGAGAATGAGTTTTTATGTCCCACACATGGTGTGTTGTAATTGTGGCATTTTTACTTTCCATTAAGAAATATCTCCAGGAGGGGAGGATAGGGACTCGGTTCATTACTTCTATAAACCAAAGAAAAAAACCCAGACAAGCTTGATGAGTTGTTAAGTAGTCTTTAAAGAAGTTCTTAAATCAAGATTAGATGTCTTTCCTAAAAAAGCTCCCTTGTTCAGTAGAAGTTACAGGCCTGATAGAGGGATCACTGGTCAAATCCTGTGATTTGCAGTATGAAAAATTCAAACTATGTTAAAACAATGTCTGTTCTGGCCTTCAAATTAATGAGAATGTAATTAGAGAATAATGGGTTTAGCTAGCTAAACAAAGACAATGTAAAATTATGAACATCTCAAAAATGAAAACAAAAATTTACTTATTAAAATCTTGGTCTAAAAGAAACAACAAAAGACTCAGGACAAAGTTACCACAAACAGAACATAAATATTTTTCTTGTCCTGTAGTCTTTCTTCCTAGAATTTGTCTGAAAGATTTCTAAGAACACGTTTTTCTATGCCATCTTTGAGTATTTTGAAATTTTAAAGTGTTTTATGTCCACAATCCCCCTGTCAGGGAAGGATTGCTCCTAGCTCACCTCTACGGTTTCTTTGTAGACATTTCTATGCAGTCTTCCTCTGCTCAGCCTAAGTCTAAGCAATGAGCAGGGTACAGTCTTCCAGCTACACCAGTGCTGGTGTCTTGGCACTACTAGAAAAATATGAATGACAATAAACAGGGCTGATTCTTCTCTGGGTATTCATTTTCCCATGATCAGTGCTGGACTGAAAAGGCAGAGAGCAGACTGCTTTGGGGCATAAAATGGCCATCACCCAGATTATTTCATGCATACCAGAATACTGGCAAGGCAGAGCCTCTTCTGGGAAGCAGCTCCTCACTGAGTTTTGACCACTGCCCCTGACCACCTTCCCTCAGGACCAGTTTGTATCTTAAGACTTTTTCATGGGTCTCTGTCCCAACTCTGTCTCTCTCCTGCAGTAGAAAAGTTTCAGCTTAGATCATAGAATCATAGAATCATAGAGTTAGTTAGGGTTGGAAAGGACCTTAAGATCGTCAATTTCCAAGCCCCCTGCCATGGGCAGGGACACCTCGCTCTAAACTATATTACCCAAGGCCTCGTCCAACCTAGCCTTGAACACTACCAGGGATGAAGCGTTCACATATGCCCCCTTCAGATACTGGAAGGCTGCTATGAGGTCTCCAAGCAGCCTTCTCGTCTCCAGGCTGAGCAGTCCCAACTTTCTCAGCCTATCTTCATACGGGAGGTGCTCCAGTCCCCTGATCATTCTCGTGGCCCTCCTCTGAACTTGATCCAACAGATCCATGTCTTTTTTATGCTGAGGACACCAGAACTGCACACAATACTCCAAGTGAGGTCTCACGAGAGCAGAGTAAAGGGGCAGGATCCCCTCCTTTGACCTGCTGTTCACAATCCTTTTGATGCAGCCCTGGATACAGTTGGGTTTCTGGGCTGCAAGCGCACACTGCTGGCTCATGTTCATTTTCTCATTGACCAGCACCCCCAAGTCCTTCTCTGCAGGGCTGCTCTGAATCTCTCCTCTGCCCAGCCTGTAACTGTGTCTGGGATTGCTCCAACCCAGGTGTAGGACCTTGCACTTGGCATGGTTAAACTTCATGAGGTTGGCATCAGCCCACCTCACAAGCATGTCAAGGTCCCTCTGGATGACATTCCTTCCCTCCAGTGTATCAACCAAACCACACAGCTTGGTGTCATCAGCAAACTTGCTGAGGACACACTCAGTCATACAGTATCACACACATTATGCTAGAGATTGGAAGGGTCCTCATAAGATCATCTAGTCCAATCCCCCTGCCGGAGCAGGAACACCTAGATAAGTTTACGCAAGAATCCATCCAGGTGGGTTTTGAATGTCTCCAGAGAAGGAAACTCCACAACTTCCCTGGGCAGCCTGTTCCAGTGTTCTGTCACCCTCACTGAGAAGGAGTTTCTTCTCAAGTTTAAGTAGAACCTCTTGTGTTCCAGTTTGTACCCATTACCCCTTGTCCTATCATTGTTTGCCACTGAGAAGAGCCTGGCTCCATCCTCACGACACTCCCCCTTTATATATTTATATACACTAATAAGGTCACCCCTCAGTCTCCTCCAAACTATAGAGATCCAGCTCCCTCAGTTTTTCCTCATAAGGGAGATGCTTCACTCCCTTAATCATCTTAGTTGCCCTGCGCTGGACTCTCTCCAGCAGGTCCCTGTCCTTCTTGAACTGAGGGTCCCAGAACTGGACACAATATTCCAGATGAGTTCTCACCAGGGCAGAGTAGAGGGGAAGGAGGACCTCTCTCGACCTACTAACCACCCTCTTCTAATACATCCCAGGATGCCATTGGCCTTCTTGGCCACAAAGGCACAGTGTCAGCTCATGGTCATACTGCTGTCAACTAGGACCCCCAGGTCCCTCTCCCCTACACTGCTCTCTAACAGGTCGTTCCTCAACCTATACTGGAACCTGGGGTTGTTCCTGCCCAGATGCAGGAGTCTACACTTTCCCTTGTTATATTTATATATTTATATTTATATATATTTATATATGTTTATATTTTCCTTTGTTATATTTCATCAAGTTATTCCCTGCCCAACTCTCCAGCCTGTCCAGGTCTCGCTAGATGGCAGCACAACCTTCTGGCATGTCAGCCACTCCTCCCAGCTTAGTGTCATCAGCAAACTTGCTGAGGGTACACTCAATTCCCTCATCTAAATCACTGATTAATATATTCCACTGTTCATGTCAGCGACGAAGATGTTGAACATGACCGGTCCCAACACCGTTCCCTGAGGGACACCACTCGTTACTGGTCTCCAGCCGGACATTGAGCCATTGATCACAACTCTTTGTGTGCGGCCTTCCAGCCAGTTCTTTATCCACCGAGTGGTCCATTCATCAAATTGATGTCTCTCCAATTTAGAGACAAGAATGTTGTGTGGGACAGTGTTGAAAAGATCTGATCTGAGTTCTTGTCTTTCCTGCTTAAAATGCTGACAGCGCTTGAATGCTCACAGTATTCATGGCAGGGAACAATGCCTATATCTTCTTGTCAAGAAGAGACATAAGAAATTTTAATACAAGGCTTAGAACACACACAAGAAAACAAAGTTCCATGGGATATAGCCCTAGAGGGAGGGCGGGCCAAAGACTCTTGGTTGCTATTCAACGATCACCTGCTACAAGCTCAGGAGTGTTGCATCTCAACTAGAATGAAGTGAAGCAGGAGGGCCAGGAGACCTCCTTGGATGGATAAGGAGATGCTGAAGAAAATTCAAATGAAAAAAGAGGCTTATAAAATGTGGAAGCAAGGACAGGTGGCCTGGGAAGAGTACAGGGATGTTGTCCGGGAATCTAGGGACCAGGATAGGAAAGCTAAATCCCAGTTAGAATTAAACTTGGATAGGGATATTAGGTATAACAGGAAGGGATTCTACAGGTACATAGCAAATAAAAAACAGACTAGGGAGATTGTAGGCCCCCTCAGGAAGCTCTCGGGTGAACTAGCTACACAGGATTTGGAGAAGGCTGAGGTTCTGAATGACTCCTTTGCCTCGGTCTTCACTGGCAAAGGCTCTGACCGCACCACCCAAGTCTTGCAAGGCAGATGCAGGGACTGTGAGAATGAAGACCTTGGACCCACTGTAGGAGAGGAACTGGTTTGAGACCATCTTAAAAATCTGAACGTGCACAAGTCCATGGGTCCTGATGAAATCCATCTGCGGGTCCTGAAGGAGCTGGTGAATGAAGTTGCTAAGCCGCTGGCCATCATATTTGAGAAATCATGGCAGTCAGGTGAAGTTCCTGATGACTGGAAGAAAGGAAATATGACCCCCATTTTCAAGAAGGGGAAAATGGATGACCCAGGGAATTACAGACCAGTCAGTCTCACCTCTGTGCCTGGCAAAATCTTGGAGCAGATTCTCCTTGAAGGCATGCTAAGGCACATGAAAATCAACAAGGTGCTTGGTGACAGCCAGCATGTCTTCACTAAGGGGAAATCCTGCCTGACCAATTTGGTAGCCTTTTATGATGGGGCTACAGAACTGATGGACAGTGGTAGAGCAGTTGACGTCATCTACCTGGACTTGTACAAAACATTCGACACCGTCCCACACGACATTCTTGTCTAAATTGGAGAGACATCAATTTGATGGATGGGCCACTCGGTGGATAAAGAACTGTCTGGATGGCTGCACACAAAGGGTTATGGTAAATGACTCAATGTCCAGCTGGAGATCAGTAATGAATGGTGTCCCTCAGGGATCAGTGCTGGGACCGGTGTTGTTCAACATCTTTGTTGGTGACATTGACAGTGGGATTGAGTGTACCCTCAGCAAGTTTGCCGATGACACCAAGCTGTGTGGTTTGGTTGATACACTGGAGGGAAGGAATGCCATCCAGAGGGACCATGACATGCTTGTGAGGTGGTCTGATGCCAACCTCATGAAGTTTAACCGTGCCAACTGCAAGGTACTCCACCTGGGTTGGAGTAATCCCAGT